CTGGGACCTTCTTTTTATCCCCTATGTATTTAAAAAAAGACTTCTTATTGTCCTTAATCTGGGAAGCTAGTCCCAGTTCCATCTCTGCCTTGGCCTTCCTAACTACCCCCTACATCCCCAAGCAACTGCAGAATAGTCCTCCTTGGTGATGACCCCTTCTTTCCATTGGGTGTAAGCCACCTTTTTAATGATCTTAATGTTAAAAAAGTTAGTGTATTGCTATGATACAAATTGAAACACAGCAGGGAAAATTAAGTTATAGACAACACATGAATTACAACAGTGCCCTCTCTTTTATTTCTTTAGGTGATCTTTCTCATTAGCACTTAGGTTTCACATCGTTTCAAAATACCTTTTCACATTCTGCTTCAGCTTTTAAGAAAAACAGAAAGGAATGGAAAAACTCAGAGAAAAGGGTAGTATGTTAAATTATAAAACAAGCAAGCTAATGAACCCGTGATGATGATAAAATGGTAATAAAAGATATATTCTGAATGACAATCCACTGATGAGACAAGAGATTCCTGTCCCTATGAGCCACCAGTGTGATCTTGCAGCTGGTAAAGTGAGCAAAACTCTGGCTTACATCCATAGATGCTTCTCAAGCAAATCCCAGGATGTCATCCTCCCGCTGTACTAGGCCTTGGTGAGGCCGTAGCTGGAGTACTGCATCCAATTCTGGGTTTGAGAGAATCCAGAGGAGAGCCACGCACATGATCAGAGGGCAGGAGAACAGGCCTCATGATGAGAGGCTGAGAGCTATGAGACTATTCAGCCTTGAAAAGCACAGGCTCGGGGCACCTGGTGGCTGTCTATAAGTATATAAGGGGTGTACATCAGGATCTGGTTGAACGCCTGTTCACCAGAGTGCCCCACAGAATGACAAGGTCAAATGGTCACAAACTTCTTCATGACTGTTTCAGGCTGGACATAAGGAAGAACTTTATTGTCCGAGCCCCAAGGCCTAGAACAGACTGCCACTAGAGGTGGGGCAAGCACCTACTCTGGACTCCTTTAAGAGACATTTGGACATTTATCTTGCTGGGATCTTTTGACCCCAGCTGACTTCCTGCCCCTGGGGCAGAGGGCTGGACTTGATGATCTCCCGAGGTCCCTTCCAGCCCTAATGTCTATGAATCCTATGAAATCTATGAATCCCAATAACTGAATTATCAAGGAAGCAATATCGCTTTAAATATATAACTTTAGGGTAATTTCTCAGGCAAAGCTGATAAGAACAGTGAAGATCAGAAAAAAACCCTTAGTGATAGCGAGGTCTGAAACGTTTAATGTGTTTTTGTTTGCCAACATATCAGATGCCAAACCAACCAGCAGTCACACAGATACTTAACTTCATTACCATGAGTAACACCACTGAAATCAAGCATATAGGCCCATGGTTTTCAACCTTTTTCCATTTGTGGACCCCTAAAAATGTTAAAATGGAGGTGCCAGATCCCTTTCAAAATTTGGAATGGAAGGGCAGACCCTTTTGAATTCGCATACTTTTGATTGATCATAGTCATCTTTCCTGGACCATAGTCTATGGCTCTCCAGGGGTCTGTGAACCATAGGTTGAAAACCACCGATATAGGAATTGTATGTAAGACGATGCCTTAGTTTGAATAAGAACTCTGATCCTGGTGGGGAACTCTGGGTACTACTGTAATACAAATAATAATTAATCATTATTTGCATTATTTATATAACACTCCAGGTCTGCAATAGGATTATTGTAGAAACAAGTAAAGGCTTCTGCCTTACAGAGTTTATTTTTTCACACAGTATGACAACTAGTTATAAAATATCAGACCATAATGAAAGATATTGGAGAGAGTGTTAAACCTGATAGGAAAAATGGTGTTTGGTTTGGTTTTTTTGCTGATTCACAACCATTTGAACCATTGTTATTTTACTTTTCTGTTTTCTTACCTGAGTATCAATAACGCATTCCTGTTTAATTTCATCATTGTGTGTTCCAATAAGGGAAGGGAGTGACAACAGGAAGACTAGCAATTATATACATATATGTATGCATATGTATATACGTATGTATATATACATATACATACGCACACATATTTATTATGTGTATTATAAATAATACATACATATGTAATAGCTGATCTTCCTGTTGTCAGTTTCATATTTAAAAAGTGTACGTGTGCATGTATGCTGCAGCTAGGGTGTGTGTATGTGTGTGTGCATGCACACGTTTTGTTTTTAAATATGATGCTGAGGGCCCTGCCACACATTCGAATTAAAGCTGGGCAGAAACCAGCCATAGAGTTGCTACATTTTCAGGCACTACTTCTGGTAGCAGGCTGGCTTTTTTTTATAGCAGACTAGCCATTTTTATAGCTGGCATGCCAGCTGCTTTGCAGGCATGGCCTAGTTAAAGGTATTGCAGGAGTAACCAGTTACTGGCCTAATCCAGGTAAGTGTGGCAGGGCCTCAGGTTACGCTGGGGGTTTCCGAGGCCTGCAGTGGATTTCCAAGCTGAGGCCCGGTCCTGCCCCAAGCGTGGCACTGCCCAGGGTCGAATAAAGGCGTAGGCAAACCAGCCTATGCCTAGGGCCCTTTGTGAAGAAGGGGCCCGCGAGTCCGTTCGCGCCCGCGGCTACTCTCCCTTCCGGAGCCGGGGCAGCAACCTCCCGCTTTAGCTTTCCCTCCCAGAGGCGACAGCACCCGCGCCCAACCCGACCCTGCCTTGCAGTGCGCGGCGGAGGCAACACATGGCCCAGTCCTCTGCGCCGTCAGACAGGCGCCGCCCCCCGCCCTCCTCCCCCTGCTGAACAGCAGCAGCACGGCGAGGCCTCCCCCACGCCCGACTCGAGCCGCGGGCCGGCGGCCGCTGCCGGGTATGA